TTACGTTATTTGAAATAAATATAAAAACTGAAATTTATAGATTCTTATTATTTAGGTAAGTCTCATTTTTGCATTTATGGATGAAAATGTGAAATATATGCGTTGACGAGTGATAAAACGAATCGTCAAAATTTATCAAGAAATGAAAAAAAAAAAAAAAAAATGGAAGCAAAACCAATCAAATGAGACATTGTGGAATACGGTTCATAAATTTCGTCATGTCACATAGCTCGAGAACGATTATTTTATTGAAATATAGTATTTCTTTGATAAAACGGTAGTGTGAACAAAATTTAGCGTACTTAAAATAAATTAAAGTGAAGTAACAACTATCAGAATTGTCTAACACTGTATTCAATTGTGATTCGAGACTGGAGTATACAAATGTGGAAAGAATAGATAAAATTTGTTTGAGTTTTCATGTGATGAACGAGTTTCAAAGCAATTCAGTTTTAGGAAGGTTTCAAGTTTGAAAAATGAATTTAGGATTTTAATTGTTTGTACGATTTTTTCAAAAAGTACCGGACTTTTACTGACCAAAACTGAGCATGAAAGGAAATTTATTTCGTCTTCAAGTTTCGAATGTTCGTGCAAGTTCTACATCAACAGTTGCTGGTCTATTTTTGATACCAATATGCTCCATAAAACAGCTCTTGATATTTTCGAAGCGTTCATAGCAGGGTAGATAGGAGAAGTCTAGTTTCGTCACATTTCCAGGTCGCTGTAAAGTGATAAAATCCCATCATTTATTTTGAAATTCAGAGTATTATATTGGGCTGGAGCATAAATTAGACTCGAAATCCTAAAATTTTTCAGAGATAAAATTGATACTTGGTCGCAAAATGTGAGACATTTCCTTCCAGCAAATGTTGTTGCAACATCGTTACGTATGCAGCATTCTGTATGATCCAGTCCACCGGCAGCACAATACGATATATCAGCTAATGCTGACAGTGGACATTTATCAAAATGAAGATACATGGCCTAAATCTAGAACTAGTAAATTTTTAATAGCATCAAAGCTTTCATTGATAATGAATCATTTGAACTGTCACATTTTATAGTTTCGGAGTTCCTTGAGAAATGAAATATGCAAAAATGTGATTCATGATTTTTAAATTTAAATCATTACCTGCAAAGTATTTTTTGTATACGTAGCATATGAACACTTTTCTAAGCAACTATCCGGAAGCTGTTGATAAAGACAGCATTCATAGAACTGTTCATTAGTCATTTGTTCAGCGTTTATTTCTTGGACCTACAAGGAAGGAAAATAAAGAAATTGATTACAATTTATATAATAATTTCACATTCTAACTCTTTCGCAGAAAGCGCTCTTTCAGTGAAAAATTAGAATTGCTCATTTTTAATATAACCTTTTGAATGATGATCACTTAATGATGACGTGAAAGAATACCAAACACGGCTACATCTTAATCATCCAGAAAAAAAAAACTTGATTTGGGAATTTTTTAAGAAAAAAGAATTAATTACAGATTTTGGTTTATTATTAAAATTAAGAAGTTCAGTACCATTTGAAAAATACATTTTTGTTGCTAACGAGTAGTTGTAGTAATTAAAAAATTCCCTATCGAGAATGTTTATATTTACATCAATTACTCAGCTACAAGTTTTCATAATTTTAAAGATACTTTTGCAGCAGGGGAAGAAGCTACCGCATTAATAGCATCATCTGTGTGCTTGTCGTTTATCACATCATCAACTATTTTCGAGGATCGTGCACGTGCTCTGGAGTAACAGCCGTATTGGCCACAAGCATATCCAGGAGAACAACCGCCAGAACATACAGGAACCACTGGTTGTGTGCAACCGTAACCACCACCACAAACTCCAGATGAAAAACATCCTCTGCTGATATCAATGTATACGTACAGGGCAATAACGCTTAGCATGCCGCTGCTCATTGCGACTTTGGTTTAGAAGCTTGATCTTAACAAAGCACTGCAGTATGTCGTTTAGACAACAGTTCACGGTTTAAAACGTTGAAGAAATTACTCTATCTAAACGCTTTACTACTTGGTGTTATTTAAAAATCCTTCCAGTCAGCTAGATCCCAATTTTCAATGCAGTAATCAAGTGATATTATATTTGTTATTAATCCGAAAATCTATAAAATGAAGATGTTTTTTTTTTTTTTTTATGAAATCTGTTTTTACCAAAACTTTAGTTGAATATTCAGAACAAACGGGAAAAATAAGGATGCTAAGATGAGTTTTTACTTTAAAGATCATAGAGAGGAGCTGCAGAAGCTATTGGGTGGAAATATTTCTCTACGATGTTGAAGAAGTAAATGATTTGTGTGATAAAGTTTTTGGAGCTTATATACAGAATATGAATCTCCTCCCACTACCTATCAAACTAACCATGGAAGTTTTATCAAATAGCTAGTATAATTCATTTGAATCACACGTATGACAGGGTCTACACAAAATGGACCAGAAAATGGGAAAAGAAGACGAGATAGATCCGGTTCTATTTTGCTATTAACTTGCTTCTTTACTGCTTTCTTTTTCAGCTTTTTTACTGATTTAATCGACCTTGTTGACGATGACTCGGATTCACTATCTATTGCCAACGGCATTCCAGGATTCACCCCTTTTCGTTCCACTTAACAGTCTAGCAAAACTTTTTCTCCCACTGCTCATTCACCACTTGAAACTTTTATTAACAACGTCGAGATAGGAAGATCATGAGAGGAATTTAACATCTGAGATGTGTGACACACCACATAAATATTTGAAAGTTTTTAATTTTTCATCTGGGTAGCTGATATGCTGTGCTAGAGTAATTAAATTTGTCATCATATACAGCAGAATTGAATTGCGATACAATCATATGACATGTGTTTCGGAAGTATTTGAGAATCGTTTTTAATAATAGTTAATAATGCTGGGGAATTTTGAAGTTTTTAAGAGATAACGTTCTAAGAAAACATCTCAAAAGAGAAGTATTGCGAATCCCACCATTGCCTAAAACTTGGCTAAGTTAAAAGACAGTAGTTTTTGAAATTCTTATTATTGAAGCACTGCGAATTCGCATGTAGGTAGAGAATAGGAATGAACTTCTTTTGCTATCAATCATCATGGAAAAAGTTGCAGCAAAACTCAGCTCTTGTATTACCTGGTACCACAGTTAAATGGTTAACTGGTAGTAGTGGGGGATTTGGTCTTTCTTCTACTGAAAATCTAGATCGAGATAATGCCATGATGCTTGTATCATTTTCGATTTGCTATAATTATATCATAACCATTAATTTTATTCAGCCAGTTTAGAATTCGTACCAGTTCGGAAAAACTCGTCTTCTCTTCATCCCCCATATTTTCCTTCACTATTCATTGAACTATAAAACAAAAAGATGGATAATCCAATAACTCGTTTCTCATCAAATTTCGAAAATGAAATTTTTCAGTTTTGTGTAATTTTCGTATGTATTATTTGGGAAAGATGTTTTTCCTTTAGACTTTAAGCTACCTACTTATTAGAATTCTTTTCTATTTAGATCTTTAACTTTCACAACTCATTTGATTTATTGGAAAAAACACGAACATATGTTTCAGGAACTACAAGGACAAATTATCTCCATCAGCAATGATTTGCGAGAAATTTCTCTGAAAATTAACGATCAGCTTATTTTATTTGACTGGACACTTTACATTCCAAATGTACAAAATTTCTTGAAAGTAAAACAATTTACTCGTTTTTTCAGTTTATACAGAAAAGTGAAAATTGATGTAAATTCTTCGGGGTAAAAGTGAACCGCCATCTGAAAAGATTCAACTATCTTTTTAAATTCCAATTCATGATTTTCCAATTCCATTTCTCCAACCCCAACACACAATTTATCCGACAAAGTTAGTATTAAGCAAATTCTGAATCATGCAGCAAATTTAACTCTCTACACAATGTGGACAACAATTCCTTTTTTTAACTTACAAATTCGCATGGCCATCAATAATTCTGCATAAATTATTTTGTTATTAACTTTTTATTGAAGAGTACTCGAAATTTTTGATATCAATAACCTAACAGTAACAACAAAAAATGAACTGTTGGAAACAAAAACCATAATAGTTTATAAGCATTCCCACAAACAGACTAAAGTTTCCAGTACAAACAGGGCTATAACTGGCAAGCTGGGCAGCAAGCAACAGTCCATATCCCATTTCAGCTGTAGCAGACTAATTAATGACACATCCAACTATTCCGACATCTAAAACGTATTTTATGATGAAGTTTATCACATAGCGGGATTAAAACTTCACACACCAGACGTTCCGCACGTCTATCATCTTCAGAAATAGTCCCTTTAATTTTCTGGAAGGGACTCCCAAACTTACATCCCGCATGAAAGACCCAACCAACACCATGATCCCTGATCATGTCTACCATCCAGCAGTTTCATGCCTTTCGCAATACTATCTTTCCCGCACTCTCTTCACTTCCGTCGTTCTTTCATTCTCCGCTTTCTGTCCCATAACCATTATGCAACGTTGGGACTATTGTAGAGTTTGGATAACGTGTGTGTTACGTGTGATATCCTTTGACCATTGTGGTACATGCATTACTCTTCTAAGCCTCTTCTTTCTACTCCACTTCGTTTTGCTTAGTATTTACTAAGATGATAATAGTTTGACATGAAGAATTCTAACACCAGCAAGTAAAAGTAAATCAAGTTAACTAGCAGTGCCCGTATCTGGAAGTAGTCTTTCAAATGACCAGCTTAACCAGAGGAAACTAATCCAGTTTACAGTTTGCTCGTTGAGAATTAATCATGTAAGTTACAGAATAGAAGTAGTAGAGCGGTTTTTGCCTGCAAGAAATATTTTGGCTAACACAGGTCTTTTTTTATATCTTTTCTTCAAGTTATCTAAAATTCACATCATCTACGTAATTTTTGTTGCTGATATGTAATGACATTTGTTGTTATTAGCTGCTGACGAATTTAGTATCCGGGAAGGAAATTCTGGAGAAATATGATGATGTCGTGGTGGAAAAACTTTTTTGCTTTACAAGTTATCTCCGCTTTAGTTGATAGTACTCAATTGCTTTCCGGCGATGTTACAATTTCTGTAGAACGAGTGATTGACATATCAACACAGGTACATGTTTTCAACTTGATTTTAGTTTTGATTTGTTTTTTTCGAGCTCACCAGTCATTCAGTGCAACATTGCTTCCAGTATATAGCATGAACATACGCTAGACTATCAGCTGCATTTTTACAACAAAGTTTTATAATGTTAAAGAATTTCTGCATTCAGTCCATTAGCTGATTATAGGCTTTTTTATTGAAACGATTACATCTGAATAATTTTAATTGACAAAAAAATCACAGACAAGAACTTGCTTTTTCCGCAAGATTAGTTTACATAAAAGCTTAATTGTTGCTGCCAATATATATATGAGTTTTTCTTGCAGGTAGTAAAAGTAACGGATAAATATGAAGTAACAAATGATGGTGAGAAGGAAATCAGCAGTTTCGAACATTTAGTCCATGAAAAGGAATATTTACGACTCGCGTACATTTCTGCAACTGTTTCGAAAAAAGATACGAAATTGAAAGTGTCGGATATCAAACATGAAAAGGGCAGTATAAAAAAAGGATTTGTGGCCTACGAGGTTTTCATTCCATTTTTCTAAAATTTCCAGTGTTTGGATTTTATATGCTGCTAGTTGTTATGTGCTATGAAAAGTAACTAAGGAAAGAAAGTGCCCTAATTTGTGTTTATAGATTGAATTCCAAAATGCTCTTCCACCGAACGGCAAAATTTTTATTACTGTGGAGTATCAACTAACAGAATATTTGGAATTACATCCAAAGAGGATCACTCAGGCGGAATCACAGTAGGTTTTCATTAAGTTGTTAAGCTTTTTATTTTTTCGAAGAACTGTTTTCTTACTCGCATAACTGAATTTTACTGTGTATTGTTTGTTGAAACCGAAAAAATTATTACACATTTTGAAAAATAATCTGCAGTATGCGTCAGTTTGGTTGGTGGTGGATAAGGCCTTCAGTATAGTACCGATCACTTTAAATGAATTTTGACGTTTACTTTAGAGAAAAGTTTTTTATGCGACATGATTGATTTTTTTTTAAAAATTAGGTTTGCTGTTTACAAAGGAAATGCCCATGTTCCAAGTATATATCCAGTAAAACAAGAGAAAACTGTGATACTTCTACCTAGCGGAAGACTTGAATCTCGCACAACAGTTTTACCAACATCAGTTGATAATGGCAAAATAACCTATGGTCCATATATAGATCAGAAACCGTATGCAGTGGTAAGACTTTTAGTTACATATAACGAATTTTCGAAATCAAAACATTAAAATCACCTTTTCTGGTTAGAACAACTTTTTTTTTGAACTGTAAACTTTGTTTGAGGCGGAAATTATTGTGCACTGTGAAAACAACACGCCGTTCGTTGTAGCAACTGATGTCGTCAGAGTGATTGAAGTTTCACATTGGGGTAATATTGCTGTGGAAGAAGCGATCAGTGTTATCCATAAAGGAGCAGAGTTAAAGGTATTTTGATTTGGTTCAAATTTTCATACTGAAGATCTTGTGATATCTTTTAATATTTATTTTTCAGGGTTCATTTTCTCGTCTTGATTTTCAAATGGATCGAAGGGGCAGTAAAAGACCAATAGTAACTCAATATAAGGTATGTATTTTCCCAGAATTTCACGTGTTTGTCCTTACATACTTTAACTTAATTCAAGGGATTAATTGCAGACTTTGTTACCAGCATCGGCGAAGGATATTTATTATCGAGATGAAATTGGCAATATTTCTACTTCAGCTGTGCGAAAAATGCCAGATGTTGTTGAATTAATTGTACAGCCGCGTTTTCCATTGTTTGGTGGATGGAAGACGGATTACGTACTCGGTTACAATGTTCCAGCTTACCAGTATCTTTATTCATCAGGCAATAAATTTGCACTGAAGATGCGTATTGTCGATCATCTGTTCGACGACGCTGTCATTGAAAACTTGAAGCTGAAAATTATATTACCAGAAGGTAGCAAGTAAGTGTTTACACTTCTTATTTTAGTTCTAATTTTATTTTGATTCCCGATTTTTAGTTGCAGTTAAATGACTAAAGTTGTTGTAACTCTTCACCAAATATTTTTTTGCAGGAATTTTAAATTGACAACACCATATTCAGTGACGAGACTTCCGGATGAGTTGCATTTCACATACTTGGACACCACTGGCCGTCCTGTTATCACAGTCGAAAAGGATAACCTCGTTGACTTTCATATTCAAATGTTCACTGTATGTTTTTTATTCGGGTATTTTTCCGAAGATTTCGTAGCTATGCCATGAATCATAATGGGACGGAAATACAAGTCGACATGCTTTACATTAATTAAAGTAATGTAGTTTTGCTTCATATGTTAGTATCACAATATGATTTTGCAGTTACACTACGAATTTGACCGCATGCAGCTTTGGAGAGAACCATTCCTTGCTTGTGCTGCATTTGCAACCCTGTTTATTGCAGTCATCATATATGTCCGACTGGATTTCACAATCTCACCTGTAAATTGTTCACTTCCAGTGGTTTTTATTTGTGGCTTTCTTGTGTTTGGGATTTATTTGTTTAGTTCCACTGATCCTTTTCCAGAAACTCTTGTGTAAAAATGTCTTCCTAGTCGTAGCCTAAATGAATGACATTTACAATTCCTTGATCAGTTATGGTCTATACTTATTATTTAAAGTTTTTGCTTTCAAGTAACAAAGTGTCTTTCCCCACTTCTCGTGTACTTTATATTATTTCTCTTCCAACATCTTATTAATGCAAGCCCAAAATTAAGTACTGTAACTTTTCTATATGCATTTTGAGGACGTTGCAACAGAAAGTCGCTTGCAAGCGCAGGGACAGGTGGAACAACTAACGGACCTACATGCTGATAGATTAAAAATTTATGACCATTTCACGGATGTTGTAAACAAATTCAAAAACAATAAGGTCTTGTTTGCCTCCTGATGTTCTTTAAACATATAAGAAAAGTAGAGGCGGCAGTTTTATAGCTTATTTCATACTATACTGTTTTATAGCTTAGAAGAAGCTGTTGCAGTCATATAATTTCAGGATCTGGCTGCATTTACAGCAGCAAGAAAAAAGGCAGAAAATGATCTGAAAAATGTTGGACACGCTATCAGTGATCTGCAAAGCGAATTGAAATCTACAAACGCTGATATATCTGACAAGGTATTTCCTTATTTTCGTTTCACGCAATTACCGCATTTGAAGAGATAGTGGAGTATATACCATATTAATTTATAGCTGTTTAAAGGAAGTTGTAATAATTTTAGATTTTTTATTGATTTATTCACCAGAATATCATGTGTTATTCCTTATACGTGGTAAGGAAGTCGTGTCCTTCTAGCAAGTAAACACAAAATAATTCAAACCAATTAGTATTTTTGAATTATAGCTGCAGTGGTCGGAGTCGTTATTTAATTTCAGCTAAACGAGGTCAGTAAAGTACACAAGCTAACGATGGATCTTATAAACAATTATTTAGGGCAGGTAAGATTTAATCTTTTGAAATAAATCTAAACTGCCATCACTGTTATGTTTTTGTGATAATGTGTTTTTTCGGTCCTTGTGAATAAAGCAAGAAAATTAAGTACATTAGAATGTTACATCATGGTATACAAGACATAAAATGAAACCTAGAATTTGAAACTAAATTATCTACCGTCGGTACATTAATAATAGGAAACTAGCAAAACTTCCCTAACAGATTTTATCTCTGGAATTTTGAAACGCCAAGGAAATACTTTTCAAAACAGTGTCATGCAGGCTTTACTGTATGTGCTATAGTGCGTAAATCTTCATATAAAGTTTTACTTTGTGAGTCTCTAAACGATCCTGTTGATTTCGTGGAAATCTAACATTTGGAGTTTTAATATTTCCCTTGCGCCAGTTCCCAAGTTGTCGCTTATTCAAACGGTTGACTTTAACTAGCGTATTAACGCTCTTCGAAGTATCTGCCCCATTAAATTTCGAGAAGGAACAGTTATGGTTAGTTTACTGGAGAAAATTTCTTAAGAAATACGTGACATAAAATAATGAAAGACTTTCTTCCTTTTTATGAAAATTTAAGATGTGTATAATTTAGACGGAGCGCTTCGTTAAAGGACAACTTTCTAAAGTGGCTTTCGCCGATGCAGAGAAGTCATATGCACAGAAGCTGAACGAAGCAAAGGAGAGAATGGATTCTGTAATTTATGCCTTGTAGGTAATATTATATGTGCGGATTATGATGAAAACATTTTAAAGTTGAGATTAGGTATCATGAGCGATGTTACTGGTAAATTCATTTGAACTAAGCACTAATTTCGGAAAAAAACCTTTCTCCAATGTTAGCTACATCACAGATTGCTACTCATTTTAAAAAATGTTGCTGAGTCACACGATATGTTTGTTGGCTCCTTTTTATCCTGACTGAAATGTGAAGAAATGTTGCGGTATAGCTAATAATATAACATGGGTCTTTGTTGTATTTTCTGTTATCAGTTATTTTCCATTTGATTTGTTAAATTATTAGCCTTTCTTTTTGTAGGCTACGTTAACGGTTTCCTAATTTTTTATAGATATTTATTAAGACTGTGTCTGATTTTAGCTTGTTATTTTCATTAAAATCAAACGACAAATAACTCAATTAGCTTGGTATATTCACTAGCACAATTTCTGGAATCTTATAGGAATAATTTGATAATTCAAAATTTTTAAAACATTTTTCTTTACCAGATGTAAATTGAACTTTTGTTTCACTAAACATGAGTTTAACGTTGAAAGTATGTTGTTAAAACAGATTTAGAATCCAGTTTTACCACTTTTTTGTTACTATATTTGATGAATTGTAAGAGCATAAATTTTATTAAATGTTGAATAATTATTTGCTTTTATTTACTTGCATATGCTATGCACGTATGGTTCTTGCAGATTTTCTGCTTGTAGTAGAGTGTAAGCGTTTGATGACTCTCAAACTTTTCAGAATAATCCATTGCATTTTTTTTCTAATATTTTCTGGAATGCAGTCATTTATAACTTTCCAGTATTAATTTGCAGTTTACACGGTTAGTCTCTGGCAGTTATGTATATTTTTTCATTTCTGATGTTATAAGACTTTGATGTTGTAAAGTTGGAAGTTTTCTTTGCGATGTAGGAATGTTGTGATAATATGGTACAGTTTAAAAAAAAAGAAAAAAAAAACTATAATGAGCAGAAAATATTTTGCTGTTTTTTTTTTTTTTTTTTTGTATGGATAGTTTTTGAATTTTCAGATATAACTGTCTGTATTGTAAAGAAATTCACTTATTTGATGGTATATTGGTATGACATATCGAGGAAGCAGTAATGGTGTAAACGTGATGGGCGAAAATGACGATGGAATATTTATGGAACGTCGTAATGATGCCCTGGTTGAGAAGCTCTCCGGGAAGGTGGCTGCATTAAAGAAGATAACAATAGCAATTGGTGATGATGTACGAGAACAAAATCGTTTGTTAAATGAAATGGAAACGGATTTCGATGCGTCGAAGGGTTTGCTTAGTTTAACGATGCGGAAATTGGATCGAGTTGCAAAAGCTGGTGGCAAACATTTGACATGTTATCTTGTCTTATTTGCATTATTTGTTTTCTTGATAATTTATTATTTAATTCGTTAGCCCAAATTAAGGAATTATATACAGCGAGAATCTGTCCCTTTATGTCTTTTTTTTGTGGTTTTTTTTTTTACTTCTCTTCCATTTCATACTTGTGCCAAGTTCCTCCACCACATTTTTTGAATATTAAGTAATTTTCTAGCTCTAGCTCCCATGTAAAATCTTTAATCAGGGAAGTTTTTGTTAATTAATATCTATCTGGGAAAAGTCAGAGTTTCTTAAGCCTTAATGCATCTTTAAAAGTGATGGATCTACCACTGTTCTATTATAGATAAGTTGGGACTTTTTTTTTTTTTTTTTGTATGCGTATACTTTTGATGATTTAATTCTAATCTGGTTGTTTTAACGTTTCTGGTTTCATGTACTACTGTATTTCATTATTTAAATGTTCCCGTTGATGTAAAGTAATTATTATATATTTTAGTTATTATGTGTGATAAATTACCCAATGTAGCAGATAACTATTCAGGAGAACTTCATTCCATAATTTATTTTTGTAAAGTAGCACTCCTGTAGGAATCTTACTGCCCTGGAAATATCCCATTCAGTTTCGTTGCATTAAAATAAGTCCAGCTATAGACGTACACTTGTACGGGAATGACTTTTACTGGTAAATTTTTTTCGATGCAGGTCATATATATGCAATTTTAAATGGAAGATACTGTGTTATTCTTATACATTGCAGCTAACAAAATAGTGTCGCGGATTATGCGTTTAATTCCAGTTTGTTTGATTCATTGATCACTCATTTTGAAAATGTTAACCTCATGACCAGGGAAGTGGTTTCAAGTCTTTGCGTAATTCTGTTGTTGCAAAGGGAGTAAATAATAGAGAAATGTTTCTGATTCGTTATACAATTATTGCTGGGATTTTATGATAAATAAGAGGCTGCGACTAATTCATTAATCAACTGAAGACGATGTTGATTATTGAAATTGCCATATTATTAGAGGAATATTCAGGGTGAAGTGGTGTAGTATTTAGAGAGGTTTATGAGACAGGAAAGGTAATATAGTAAGAGCAGGTGGACTGGTTGAGATTCCTCGTGGCATACTTTATACAGCTTGAATACTTTTACAAATAATTAGATGGTTAACATCGACCCCGAAGCGGGTAGTTTCAGCCGAGTTGTTTTCAACTAAGATGATGCCATCTTTGGATCTTTGGGCGTATGCTGATGTTCCATGGGAACTGCAAGCAATGCAGGAATCGTTGCGACAAAGACTCCTTCGGCTCTTTCAATGCTAAGTTACCACAGCAACAAGTTCGAAAAGAAATAACAGACGGCATTGTCAATAAGAAATACTACTGCTGTAACAATCTTGTCTCATTACTCCTGTGACATGTGCTAATAACTCTATCCCTTCATTCGTATGTTCAATATATTTCCTCCTCTCTGCAAGCTTATTGATTACATTAAATTCAGCTCCTGTTCATCATGTAACGTTATTTTTATTAGTTTATAATAGCCAGATTCAACTAATTAAGAACTATTAATATACGTGGCGCCGTTATATCCATTCATATCGCTCAACTTACGAGTTCATGATGTGAATTAAATTTCCTGCTAAAGTTTTGCATTTGCTTGCCATAGCCATAAGATATGTCTGACAATTAGAACGTCTCGGTTATCCTCAAAGAAAATTGGGATTCGCGCATATATAACCAAGTAATTAGGTCCAACAAGTTGAGTAACATAACCATCTATATCTAATGTAAAATCGAGTGTTTAATGGGATTTGCGAATAATTTCCTCCTAACTTCTTGTAATTACTTACATCTCTGGAAGTGATATCTCTGCTAACTCCGTGACAATGGTTAGACTTCTCAATACGACATAATGTATGTTATATCTCCAATCAACTTGAACACCGTCTAACGAAATAGAAGCAGTACATGATTTCACAATCCTATGTGTGAACAGTGACCAGTGCTCTGGAAAGGTATTATTAGTATAAAATTCCGGTATTCCGTTAAGTTAAGCGCAGATCCGGTTACAGTAGTGGGGAGGCACATTTAGATAATTAACTGCAGTTTTTGGTCTGCCATCAGTTGTTACAAGTATCATTCTGGAAATGTATCCATACCCTTCAACTTTCCTTGTGACTAGGCGTATCACATAAGGAACTTCCGTTATTTGTATTGATATTACTGGATGTAGTGTTAATACTGATCCAATATTTCTTCAGCATTTCACATTAGTGTTTTCTTATTTGTCATCATTAACTTATAAATTTAGTCTGCATTCCACTTACATTTAATTTGAATGATTTTTTTATGGAATCAAAATTTTCTTCAAGATCACAAGACTTGGTTTGCTTCTTTCTTCTTCCAGTTTTCGTGAGCAGCGGTATATGCATCATAATGGATAACATAATAATCCAACTTTTTTACTATTGCTTGACCTTTTTTACTATTGCTTTTTTTTACTATTACTTGACCGTGAATTCCGGGCATGGTTTTTCCCATATTTAAGAATAAATTATCTTCACATTCTTAGGTCGATGTTATGGACATAATTGCCTGTATTTTCTCCCTTACTTTGTTTTGTTGTATCTTCCCAGAAGACGTGAAGCTTATTTTCAACAAATTTGACAGTTTACAGCAGATTATAAAAATGGATGGTGACAATGCTATCAGAATTAATGAAGATGGGCAGACAATCGATGAACTTATGAGCAATAATGTTGGGTTGACATACAAGTACTCGTATTTTCCTTCTGCTTTTCTGTTTCAGACTAATTTCTTTATAATAACAAAATTTTAGAGGAATAAACGAAAAAAAAAATTTTTTTTTCTTATATTTGTAAGAGAAATTTATGAATGGTTAGATGAAAACGAACATTTTGGAATGGAATTTGCCTACTCATAGCATACTTGTTCCAGTGATTTCAATATATTGCCGGGTTATATCGGTTTTGACGTTTCTTCCGTGGATTTAACAACGCATTTAACTCGTGGTATTACGCTTAAAACACCACTGGTGTCATCACCGATGGATACAGTAACCGAATGCGAAATGGCGATTGCTATGGCAGTTAGATACCATTTAGATTATTGATAACTGATATACGCTAATTCAGTGTGGCGTAAATTGTTTGTATATCTGACTCAGTCGAACTTTGCATAACAGTATGTCATCCTTCTGAAAGAACATTAAAACTTCATCTGTACTTGCTGGTTAGGCTATAGTGATGGAATCATTTTACAAGTATTAACTAGTAAGTATGGCTTAAGGATATGCTCGAATCAGCGGATGGCTTTAGTGGAGTGTTGGTAATATGCAAATTTCATATGTGTTCAGAAGGATTGGATCGACTATTAATATATTAAGGAATCGCCGACGTAATCGACATTAACATAAAGATTGGATCGTATTAGTGATTTATTCCTGCAAACGTCTTTGTAATAAAACAGTGTCAACATTTTTTTTTTTTTTTTTTTAGTTACATGGTGGTATTGGTATAATTCACGCCAATTTCGCCTCCGTGGAAGATCAGGCTGAAGAAGTTATCAAAGTGAAGGTGAAGTTTGCTCATCTAACATTCTAACCTCATCAGTGTTTTTTTTTTTTTCTAGTTCACTAAGTTTTAGTTAGATTGTTATTGTTTGAGTGTTCACAATATTTCAGTATTTTAAGCAGTTTGTGAGGGAGAACTATGCACAAATATTGACATGACTAGATATTTTCAGGGAATGACGAAATATTTTTTGTTGTGCTTGGGAATTGTTTGTTATAACCAGAGTAGGATTAAAACATACCTAAATTTTGCAGCGTTATAAGCAAGGGTTTATAACACATCCGCATTGCATAAAAGAAATGGATACAGTGTTAGATTTGATGAGGATAAAGCTGAAATATGGTTTCACAGGAACACCAGTTACGTCAACAGGACATGTTGGTGGCCAACTGATAGGTATGTCTTTTTGTCAAAAAATTTTTCATCACCTAAATTTGATTATTTACAAGACGAATCATCTGGAGGAAAAATTAATTTAGGTGTCTAGAGATTGATTTTGCCGGTGTTTAAAACAGTTGGTTTTATAAAATTTATTTGTACTTCAAGTGTTGTTTGCTTGTTGTTCACTTTAAATCGTATTTAAAATGTAGGTTTGGTAACTTCTCGTGATGTAGATTTTATTGATGAGAGCAAATATCCGACTACGAAAATAAGTGAAGTAATGGTCCCATTCGACCGGCTTATAACGGGCAGCGAAGATCTAACTTTAGAACATGCTTACAAAATCTTAGAAAATGAGAAGAAAGGTAAGTCATTATTTATTGCATTTTGTTGTTGAAGTGATGGCCAAATGGTCGATAACAATTTTGAAATAGCCATTGTCTTAGATGTATTTCATGATCTAATATCGTTCCCTATTATTATTTGTATGTCTTCACTAACTGGATATATTTGCAGGGAAACTACCTATTGTGAACAGCAAAAACGAACTGGTATCCTTAATAGCTCGTACTGATTTAAAGAAAGCTCGAGATTTTCCATGTAGTTCTTACGATTCGAAGGGACAGTTAAGAGTGGGTGCAGCTATAAATACCCGAGAATCTGCAAAAGAAGCGGTAAAGAAATTAGTTGCGGCTGGTGCTGATGTTCTTGTCATTGTAAGTGATAAATTTTACATTGACTTCGCTCACCATCTTTTCTTTACTTCTTGCTTCCGTGGGATCACAAAGGTAGTCTTATTAATAAGAGTCATGTTTAGGATAACATTTATAACTGTATGAGTAAATCTAGAAACGAAACAGCAGGGATAAAGCTATCTAAATTGTTCTACTTAAATTTGGGTAGAATCATTCATTTCTTTATTCTATTACAGACAGTTCTACAACCATATTTTTCCAAATTATGGGAATCAACTTAAAAAATTCATTCTCTGCTATCTGGAATGACTTTGTGAGATAGGGACGATTATCGTTCAATTATATTAGTTATAAATTCCCAAGAGATATCAGAACGCAAAAGGAGTTAAGTTGGTGGCGAAAGAAA